CGCTACACTTAGAACTGGACATAAATAACGACATAACCGCATAATTTCAATCCTGAATGCCGCGGAGATTTTAGGTATGCAAGTGCCCAAGCCTTGGTAGATCTTCTGAAGTTAACATCTGAGAGCGACTGTCCTGAAATCGATCGTTTGGACCGTTTGCCCAGCCTGCTTTCCAGTCTTTCTTGTGTCACACTCTTCTTAGAGTAAGCAATTGAGAAGAAAAACATTACTATCTGGGTCCTCAATGGAAATGACGTTCAAGTAAGACAAAGTCAAATTGATGAGCGGTCTTGAGCTCTGGGACAGGAACTCAACTTGACATTTGATTCTTTGGTACAAGCGGCTTATCCTCTCCTTGAAAATGAAGTTCATTCGTTGTCGGAGGGTTGTGCTCTAAAGGCGGAAGTAATCAGACGAGAACGAGACGAATCGATGAAAGAAGCACTAAAAATGTTATACGATGTCGTAATAAAACCTGTAGAAGACTTCCTCACCGGAGATGAAATAATTTTTGTCCCAGATGGCCTTCAGCATTCATCGACTCACATGATAGATACATAAGTGAATCTTACAGAGTACGATTAGTTCCTTCACTAACGAGTTTGAAATTGATTGCGGATTCTCCAAAGTTCCATGGCAAAGGACGCGTGCTTCTCGTTGGTAATCCGAACCTTGCGGAGATTGTTACCGAACAGCCGTGGAACTGGAATCTTCCAGGAGCTGAAGACGAAGTCAAAAATGTAGGCAGAATTCTTAAAAGTGAGCCCCTCATTGGAAAAGATGCGACGAAAGAGGAAGTGCTAAGGCGCCTTAAATTTGCCTCTTTAGTACACATTGCTGCGCAGGGTAGTGACGAAAATGGAGAAATTTTGTTGACACCAAACCCAATAAGGGAATCGCAAGAACCAAGAGTGGAGGACTCATGCTAACAATGACTGATTTAACTGCTCTTCAGTTACAAGCGAGAATGGTAGTGTTAAGTTGCTGCCATAGTGTATGAGGAAAGATAAAAGCGGAAGGTGCAGTTGGCATCGCACGAGGCTTTTTGGCGGCAGGTGCACGTTGTGTTTTGGTGGCATTATGGGAGATTGATGACCAGGTCACTCTGGAGTTAATGAAGTGTTTTTATAAACAATTAGTTGCTGAAAAGAAAGCCAGTGAAGCACTTAATCAAGCCTTGAAACATGTTACGGAGTATCAAGATTATGTGAAGGATTGGGCTGCCTTTCATCTAATTGGAGATGACGTCAAGTTGGATTTCTTAGCAGAAGAAAAGATTCAAAACGTAAGCCATGAGCTGGATTGCGAAACGTTTGGATGAGTACTGCAAAATGTACACTCCGTCTTAGGTGTAAGAATACAATTGGAAATCGTAAGCTCTTGAAAGTACGTGAATGCTCTGAATATTTCTACTTCGAAATGAATCTCAAACCACTTTTTACGAAGGAATCTAAATAACTTTCACGTATAAACAAGATTTAAATTGCGTAAAAATTTTATGTTCACTAAATCGTGGTGGCAAACCACCAACTGCTTGGACCAATAAAGGGCTACTCGAGCATGCAATAACTTTCTTATCTCTCGGTAACCTTGAATTATTGATCTATGCATAGTTAAAAGGAAATGACGTCATGTGGGGTCGTTCAGAATTGAATAGATACAAAACTAAGAGACACAAAGAAAGAATTGGTCCATAATCAACTTGATGACACAGTGAAATCTCAAAAAGAGATGTCTTATTTTGTTTGGCCTGATAAAAGTGTAGATGTAGCGTCAATTTTTTTTTATTTGAACAATTTCATAAAGAGCTTTTTTTCCCTTAATTTTCCTTTGAATAGAGTCAATAACTGTCTACAGGCTAAAAAGTCGGAAGGAAGACGGCACGGGTAAAAAATACTGCTATATTTAAATCTGTAGGAAATTCTGCCTTATTAGTGTATCAATGAAGTTTAAATTGAGAGCAATTTGCCGCAAAAGCAAACCGCAGAGTATGTGTGCCGCAACAGAGGCTACTCCAGTAGCTCAATTGTTCCCAAGCTACCCGATGAAATAAAAAAAGATTACGGTGGCAATTAGAAAGCGTCGCGCAGTCAATATTGTCATCTAAACTTACCTGATTAGATGATTTTCCACTTCTTGCTGTCTGAAATTTCTAGCCCCACATCTTCTGCATTTTAGCACCTTTTTGAAAATTCAATTGTTACAGCAGTCGTTGACTCCCTTAAAATGTTTTAGAATAATTACTTAACAACCCAACGTGAAAACTTTATTGTTTTTTACTTAACCAGCCTCAAGAAAGATGCATGGAAAAGCTCGACTTTTGAGGTCAAATTTCAGTAATTTAATAGTGGAGGTTCACCTAAGTGTCAAAAAAAGGAAAATTGTCCTCAAAAATGGAAAGTACGTGGAAGTGTGTAGTTACAACGAATAAACAACAGCTTGACATCATTGCAGTCATGATAAGTGATGTGAACATAACTAAATGGAGCACAATTAATCGTATATGCATCTTGAATTGGTTGAGCTCGATTCGTGAGGCTGATGTGGTTATGAAAATTAGTCTTGGCTAAATTCAAGGAGAGCCGGTTTGCTGCAAACCAGGTTGACAATTTGTTTAATTCTCTATTTAATGTGTTAATTAGGTAAACAGGGTCATTATGGGAGATAAATAAGTTTGTATCATCAGCAAACAAGATTGCATCAAGCAGGGAAGCATTGTTCAAATCATTAACATACAGGATAAAAAATAAGGGACCAAGAATAGAACCTTGAGGCACCCCACAGGAATCCCCTGTGGGGCAGATCTAACGTTATTAAATTCGACAAATTGTGTCCTCTCAGAAAGATAACTTTTGACCCATTCTAGTGCCAGACCACGGATCCCATAATGATTGAGTTTTTCAAAAAGAATGTCGTGATTTACCGTATCGAATGCTTTCGAAAGATCTAGGAATACTCCAATGGCATGTTCTTTTCTATCAAATGCAGAAGAAATTTTGTCACACAAATCGATAAGCGCAAGGCTAGGAGAGCGATTTTTTCTAAAGCCATATTGATTATCACATAAGACATCGGAGTCATTGAGATAATTCATAATACGGTTGTAAATTATTCGTTCCAAAAACTTTGAAAAGCACGGTAGAACAGAAATAGGTCTGTAGTTGCTGAAGAGAGCTTTGTCACCTGATTTAAAAATAGGTATGACACGAGCAATTTTCAAATCATCCGGAACGATACCATGAGTAATGGAGAGATTTACAATGTGTGTTAATGGAGAGGAAACGCTGCATATAGATCGCTTTATGATAGACATAGGGATATTGTCATACCCAGCCGATTTTCCCGCCGGAAACGTAGATGCGATATCTATAATCTCCTCCTGAGTTGCTAAATTTAGGAACATTGACTGAGGGAAATGACCAGGAAGAAAATTCTTATACGAGGTCAATAACCAATTTGCGTTCACAAGAATTGGAATAATTTGTTTTTTAAGCTTTATTTTCGAATCAATATGTCAACTGTTTTTAATTCTAGCACAGGAAAATAAAATGGAACATTATATTCTTCCTCTTTCCGTTTGAAAACTGAAGCACACAAGCCTGCTTGTCGCGCTTCATTTTGGCTGGTTGGTATTGACGACGGAAGGCCGTTAAATCTCGTCTGTCAGTAAGCACTTGCTGCTTAAATATTATTGGCTTATGACTGTCTGATTCAAGCTGCTTTACAGGTCTGGTCAAATCCGACAACTGATTGACGTTGTTCAGAACCATTCAAATTAGAGTAGCTTGTTATTCGCAAAACTAGTTATGCAATTAAAATTACTCTCAATCTCACTGATCGTTTGATTGTTCCACAACCCAGCATAACCTTCTCAACCAATCAGCGTGATTTAAATCTTCCAAATCATTAATCTTCATCGTCACTATTCACAAAGTCTGTTAAATCTATTTTGTTTAATTACAACTATATGGCACACTAGAATTTCGAACTTATAGTCTTCTTTAAGATAGATTCTCAACCTCACAAACAACGTCTCAAAATGTTTCGCTATGCATCTAGAAGGGAATCATTCCCACCTGCAATTCCCCTTTCATGAATTTTACAAATCCATCGAAATATTGTGTCTACTTATTGTTTTGTTTTTTTCAGGATTGTTCTTGAGTTGCCACGCACTAATTTACAACAAGTGGTAGCTGGCTGAAGAATAAAAGGCATTCATTAGTTTGTTAAACTGACGAAAATAGAAAGCTCCTTGCTATCAAAGCAATTAGACACCAAATTGAAAACGACCTTTATTGCACGATTCGCACTTATTACTATATTCAAATCAAGTTTAGGCTTTGCGCACAATTGATTTTTTTCTTGAATTTTCTTCGTTCATATTTTGTAAATGCACGAATTCTATTCTTTGCAAACTGTTACAAATGCGATTTACCGGCAACAAATTGATGACTCATTGCTTCATTGATTTGCTTCACATATACTGTCTTATATCTTTATATAAATACTTTTCCTGGGTCTTCACTTGTCATACCCTCGGCCACTTAACGGTAAAATTGGGCATGTAAAGAGAAATTATCTTTAAGAGATCCTGGAGTTCAGCCTCAATGTAAATTTTGCTTTCGATTAAGAAAACAGTGGGAGAAAACAATTGATTGTCTTTTGGACTACAGCTTTGTTTCAGAATTGTACAAAAACTTCCCTCCGACATTTTTTTGCCCGTCATTGATTTCCATTTGTTTTACTTTGTATATTGTTTTATTCTAAAAAGCATTGGCAGAGGATGACTCCTTCGATATAGTTGTATTTATTGTGAAAGGATACATGAATAAATAATCACCTCGAACGTTGTACATAAAACCATGATTAATGTATTGTTTTTCAAGATTAGTTTTCACCTTGAACCACAAACAGCAAATATAACTCGTCCTTCAGCTATGGCATTCCTAGCTGATCTCATTTTTATCATTCAACTACTTGTCGCTGTTTCCCCGTCCAGCATGGCTCTAAAGCAATGTAAAGTCAAGAATACTTCGAAGCCAGGATTTTTCCTCGTTGGTTATGCACTGAAATCATTCACAGCTGAAAGACTGGCATTTTGCTACAGTACTTGTAACACGGATCCGTCTTGTCAAAGTTCAAATTATAACCTCGCTTCAAAAACCTGCCAATTGAATTCAGAATCAAGGAAAAGTCAGCCCAACAGTTTTCACGCGAGGGAGGGTTCTGTTTACTCTGATAATCCTGATCGAGGTAAGAGTTTTAAAGCGATAATCTGGTAATTTATGAAAAAGATGTCGCTACCTATTCGCTTTCACGATTGCTTAAGTAATTCAGCTAGTTCCCTGCAAGTGACGACAGTTTTCCATTTTTGTGGGAGTCGGGGGAGGGTATTGCTTATCTTTGATAGTTTTGAAAGCAGTTTTGTTCAATCTTTTATTTAAAAATGTCGTATGTATGTGGTAAGTTCTCTCAATGTGGCTGTTATACCTAGAAATTTGAGAGTTTGATAAATATTACTGTCAAAGTAATGTCAAATACTCTTGTAGATAATCTCATAAACGAAACCATATTTCCCGAGACGCCCGCCTATCAGTCAACATTGATGAGACTTCCCAAACAAACGTGCTCAGTTAAAACGGGCCGCTTAGGCATCCAGGAGAGTTTTGTTTCCACGCAAAAAGAAGCACGAAACCAAAATCGAATTGTACTGTATAGCCATGGTTTTAGCTTTGCAGAACCACCCCACGAGTGTGTTAACATCTAAGAAAAATATTTAAAAAATGTATCGTTAAAGTAATGCCAATTATATGAATAAAGAACTGAATAGTAGAAATTGTGAATTTAGTTTTCCTTTTACGAACCTTCACGGGATATTACCATTGTAACACAAAACTAATAATCGCTGGGGGGTGGGAGTTAGGTTCACTTTCCATTATCTTAAGCATATTGTTTTCGCATAAGAAAAAAAAATTGAAAAACCTCCTTCCCCCTAGAGGGAGCAATTCATCCATTTATTTGCTCATTTGTTCATCTATTCATCAAAAGTCTTATGTTACCCGAAACATTTGAAATATATGCTAGAAGAAAAGAAGCAATCACGTGACGCATTCTAAAAATGTATTTATCACCCAGCTTTACGTAAAGATAATTTGTATCCAAGACCGTCATTTATCTAAATCAAGGGTCATGCTATTGACAAAAATTTCCTGTTGTTATGTTATGAAGGGAAGAAAGGGTCCTTGCCTACGGTAACAGGCTTTTCATGCAGAAATATCGACGAAAATGGAGATCTGGACTTTAGCGGCTTTAATTGGATACGACCGCCAGGGTCTCTTGTTAGCTTCCAAGGATACTGTGACAAGTCAGCTGTTGGACGTAAGTTTACTGATTGATCAAACAAATTTGTTATGAACAGTAGCTAATGGGTAAGATAAAAATGTTGTAGGCTTTATTAAGAATGGACTCAATGGATTGTCCTCGAGTCTTAAAAATGATTTCTTGCAACGCAAATCATTAAAAAACAAACAAACAGACAGACAGACAAAAACAAAAAAAAAGAAAAAACGCCAAACGAAACAAAACAAAACAAAGGGAAAAAAAAGAAAACATACTCTGCAAAAACATTTACCACAATGGTCTCATGGAATTTCTATCTTATCTGTTTCACTTCATTTTGACGCTTTTTCGGTCCTTTTATGGAACGAGTTATTCCGTCTAAGATTTGATCGTTTAATCATGTCACACAAGAACGTGACTTAATGTCACTTCTACACGTATAAGAGATATTACTGTTCGTAACAGAACAGAATTGGTAGCATGTTTGTGGCCATTCAGTTGCATTATATGTGAAGAGAGAGAGGTTGTTAGGATGTTAATTTTTTTCTCCCTGTGTAAGAATGGACCAAGGTAACTCCGCAATGGATCAAGCAAACTTATAAAGATGGAGTGACGCTGACCTACACCGAAGAAAATGACGGGCTCGTCATTTCAGGTCAGGTGACCAGATATGCGTGTGGTTCTGGTGAACCTCCTGGGGCTCTGACCCTGATTAAAGGCTACTGGACTAGGATAAAGTACACCCAAGAATTCCGTGGAAAAGTTACGTGTTGGAGCATATTTGGAGATAACAGGTGAGTATACATACACATGTACATTTAAATCGTTTCAGTACCAGAATGTTTTCTCGACAATTTGCGACCCTCCAAGGGATTTCAGGGAATAAGGTGAACGCACGCACATGGTACACTAGCACGCTTTTCACGATATAACACGGTGACTGTGCCAGTTTTATAACACGCCGGCTTCGCTCGGAAGGCTTCGCATTGCGCCGGCTAACTAGCGGTTATTCATTTTAAAAATGCCGGTTTGCATTGAGTGATGAACAGCGACCGCGTAGGAGACATGGAGCCGGAAAACTGTTGCTGAAGGATTCACAAAGATTCGGTATTGGGCTTATTAACTTCATGAAGCGATAAGGATTTATATCTTATAAGGTAAGAAATAATTTTTAAAAAAGTAATTCATGTGTTCAAACTGAGCTCCTCTGGACCTTGTGAAACACGTCGTGCTTACTGAATTCCTTGTGAAAATCCTCAGGGAAAGAGCCGTGATTTGCCGTGACAGTTTCCTTTTTTCATTACAACTTTCGGATAGGATCGACAGAAGATCTTCTTCATTTTTGCTTATATTCCATAAGAAATATACTTTACAAACGCCATTCTCATGATAATTTAGTAACAAAGTGAGCTGGGTTGTACACGATAAGCTAGCGTGTTAAGGGACAAAGGAGCTTAGCGTGTTAAAAAAACAAAAAAATCCAGCGTGTTATAGAAACAATAATCTACCGTGTTGACAGGAACAATGGCTACAACAAGCTTTCCAAAATCAATTGTTTTTATGTGGATATCTGCACGGTAAGCGTGTCATGCAATTAGCGTGCGAGGGTGTTATAACGTGCCGTGTGCATGCGTTCACCCTATTCCCTGAAAGCCCGTGGAGGGTCACATTTAGTGAGCCTGAAAAAAGCTGCAGGAGTTCAAAAATAAATTGCATAGGTTATGAAAATCGAGAGAAGTTGATTATGTTTTGGAATTCTAGGTATGGTCGAACTTCAGTTGAAAACAAACCAACAGGTGTGCATCCCTTTAATTCCTCTCAAGGAGATTCCATCACAAATGAATACTTCATGGGTGGAGTTTGTGAGTAAAGTATTCCTTTGTTTGTTTTTTATTTTCTTTTGAGGTACAATGCTATTTCATTGCCATTTCTTTAGGTTGTCATTTTGTATTTCCTTTGATTTCCACCAAGTTCGCAATAAATGTGTTTCCAAGATAAACAAAAAGCTACTAAGATGGACAGTTCCAGATACAGATAAAATCCTCTTTATGAAATTAAAGCCGGGAAAAAAACGAGATGGGGTGGGAGTGGCATCCAGCAGCCCCCACTTCCCTCCCCTTGTACTTCCAAAGCTTAAAGTTACTATCATGGCAGTTAATGATCCACACATTTGTTCAACGAAGAGAAAATTAAAACAAAACAAAAACAAGTTAACGAAACCTAAAATACCCTGAGTTTTCGGGATCAAAATTCTCGTCAACTTAGACAATAAAAAGATAATTTCTAGCTCGAGTTTCTGAACTTTTGTTTTATTTAAATCTTTTAGCCCACATCTTTGATGGTGAAACAACAAAATGCACCGGTGTAAACACAAACTTTTGGCAAAACAATAACCCCAGTGTACGCTATGCAACGGTGATTCTCAGGAGAGAACTGAGTGCAGAAAATGCCGGTATTTTTACCGGCACATCGTGTGGCACACCAACCTACAAGATCAAGGATATTTACGTATACTTTTAAAAGTATTTTGATTTTCGCTGAGAAGGGCTGATTTGACGCTTTAATATATTATATCATTGTGACACTTTTTCAGTCGTTTTGCGAAACGCGTTATTCCGTCAAAGATTTAATCGTCTAATCATGTCACACCAGACTGAAGGTTTTATATCACTTCTGCACGAATGGAAGATATTACTATTCGTAAAAAACAGAATTGGTAGCATGTTTTAATATATTTAATATATTACGATTAAGCAAATTTTTTCTGCTTTGTTGGGTGTTCTTTCTCTTCGTGCAAACTCAATTCTAAGTCGAAAGCTCTTAAATGTAGGTGATAGACAAGTTATTGTCTTTGTTACATATAGCGGTTCACTAGTTTAGAAAGAAAAAAAATTTTGAATGCTATTACACGTTTTAAAAGAACCTGATAACAACCCATAACGAGGAACTATGTCGATTTTCATGACTAATATTTGCATTTACTCTCATAGTAATGATCTGAATTCAGATGAACACTACCACATTTGTGACCCTTAATAAACAAATCAGTGAAAGGCTGTCATTTTGAAATATTTCAAACTCATGTCAAACAACAGTCCACTCTCGGGCAGGACTAGAAATAGAGGGTTGAAGCGGATTTGTACCTTTGAGACCGAGAGCTTCTGATCCTATCCAAGACATATCCACTGTCACCCTTATAACGTAAAAAATAAGTTTCTATAGACTGCGACATCCACCTCCGCCATCCACGCCCAGCATTTCAGACAGATTACACAAAATTTGATGTAAAAACTGTTTGTCCCAGTCAGTGTGGATATAATATCACTACGGTTCATACGCTACCTAAGGCTTCGAAATAAAAAATAGCCTTGTTAAATAAGACTAGATTATGAAATTGTATATCCTGTTGCCCTATACAACAGTACCTCGCAATCCAAGGCAAATAAAGGAGTGCCCCCCCCTCCCCCCCTCCGGGACACAACTTAGCAAATTAGGAGTCCATTAAATAATGGGCTCCTGGCAAACAAACACACCTTGGCCTTGATGTTTAATTCTTGGCTTACCTCAATCGCAGTTCTTTCACCAGGGTTTAAGTACCATAGTTAGAATTTTCAGTTTTAAAATCCCCAAGACCTGTTAGAAAGGGAGATGAACGCAAATATCAAGTTAAAGCATTGAGGTAAGCTTTAATTCTTATCTTTTTATTCTTATTATTATTCTTTTTATTCTTATCTTTTTCTTTTTATTTCTTTTATCTTTTTTTCATCTTTGTATTACTTTTTATTCTTATCTTATTTATTTCTTATCTTTTTATTCCAGTAGACGAAGTAAAGTATTCTTTTTCTTTTTTTTTTTTCTTTTATCTTTTTTTTATCTTTTTCTTACTTTTTATTCTTATCTTATTTATTTCTTATCTTTTTATTCCAGTAGACATGAAACGCACGCACACATGGATAAAAAACAAGCTCAGTGACTCAGTTTTGCAAGCTCTGAACACAAATTTGCCAAATCAGACTCATTACGCTATTGCTATTATTATCACTTCAGAGGGAAACGAAATAATAAATACTGACAAACATCACAGACTACGAGTAATATGGCTTTTAATTTCATTCAACGAAAATGCACCATTAAGCGAAGATGGCGAGAAACTACAAAATCTTGGTGATCGCTTGGGAAAAAAAAATATTTTAAGGCTTTGGTACAACTTGGACACCTTAGAATAAAAGATGTTTTCGTCGGTAATATTTCGAAGAATTATACAAAAATTGGGTACAGCAATCAGCATCATGATAATTTGTTTTCTTTGTTTATTTATTTATTTTTTTTTTTTAAGTCTTTCGTTGTTTTAGTTTTAGTTCTTGAGGAACTTCAAAGTAAATTAATTTTCATCGGGTGAAGCTGTGAAGCTGTTATTTTCTATAACATTTTCCTTTCTTTTCCGGTTTTATTGATAATTCAGAAACTCGTTACCCATTGGATACTAAACAGGCCCATTTGAACTGGTTGTCCTCATATACATTTAAATGTCCTACTATTAACAATATTGGAGGACAAGTGAGGTACTTTTAATGATCAATACGCTGTGACCACATAGTCAAATCACACGTCACCGTGATGTAAACCTTCTACAACCTTAAAGTGCCGTCGAAGATGTGTTTTTCCGACAAAATAAATTACCTTGTCGTACTGGTAACAGAGTCGAAAAAATTAACGTCGCATCGACGTTATAAATCTTTTCTCGTGTATTTTTAATCTCAAAATTGGCCTCCTTATCGTTCACGACCGATAAATGGGTGAATGGGGCGGGTTGGCTCATGAAATCATCCCGGGAACCGATTCGACATTATTCATATCATTAGTGGGAAAGCGGCTACTCTACCAAACAATAAAATTATGTCCAATGGTGTTTTATTGTATTTGTTTTTTGTTTGGTTTATTTTGTTATTTGTTTGTTTTTATACATGAATTATCGCACAGCCCGTGACACTCTTTTGGACTTAGTCATTCACTTATTCTTTCGTTTGATTATTCATCCATTCATCAACAGTCATATGTCGCCCGATTCATTTCGGTACATGTTCAACTGAAATGAAAGCAACAGTGTCACGCAATGTAACACCAAGCTTTATCAAATATAGTATGCAAACAACAACGTCATTAATCGAAATCAAAGATCATACTATTAACTGAAAATTTATCTTAATGCTTTCGTTGTGTTTTGAAGGAAAGAAAGTGTCTCAGCCTACAGTACCATGCCTCTTAGGTAGAAATATCCAGGTTAATGGAGATCTGGACGCCAGCGGCGTTTACTGGATTCAGTGTGCAGGCTCTCTTGCTAGTCTCCAAGGATACTGTGACCAATGAGCCGTCGGACGTAGGTTTACCGATCGATCAAATAAAGTCATTGTGAATACAAACTGCTCGGTAATATGAAAAATCGTGCTATTGTTATTTACAGTGGATTCTGCGGATGGTCCATGAGCCACTAAATTAAGTTATTAAGGAACAGTACTGGTAAGAGTTGGTAGCGTGTTTGTGGCCAATTAAAATACATGTAGAATAAGTATTATCACTTTAAAACAGTTTTTGATTCAAATAATAATTGGCATTTTAATTGAAGACAATCAGGCTGTTAGAATATCAACGCTTTTTTTTCTGCCTAAGAAAGGGCAAGGGAATAAAACTCCATAATGGATCGAAAAAACTTACAAAGAGGATAATGACGGACTCACCATTTCAGGCCAAGCGGTTGTAAGGTCCTACATCTCGGTTACATTTACACGGTAGGATCTGGGTACGAGATAAGCTGGCAATAAATATACATAATTGTGGATATTTTGCGCATGATGTCCTATTACTATGTGAGACTTGCCCATGGGGTACTTCCTAGTAATGAGCCAAGAAGGATGTGCCAATAGATGGATTCACATTTTGACGAGGGGGTTGACAATAGTTTAGGAGAATATAAACAGTTTATATTCTGCCTACTTTTAAAACGCTTTACAAAGCAGACGAATAAACACAAAGTAGCTATCAAGAAAACTACATGAATATGAAAGCGATCATCGTAGTGATGAACACTACTAGAGCAGTAGTGAAAATAAGGCCTGAAAAAGATTCAGACCTGTACGGGATTTTAAACCATGACATCTGCGATACCGGTGCAGTGCTTTACCATGACAGGAACCAAGTAATGGGCTCAAATAAGGGTTTGTAGCCAATTCTTCTCGACCTTCGTCTCTAGCAAATAAAAAGACGCTGATTTATATCAACGAGCCCGCAATATGGCATAAATATTGATCAGAGGGCTCTTCGGTGCAACATCTGTCACTTTGACATCTCAATGGGAATGTCCGCTTCAACAACAATGCACTAGCGCAGTTAAACGATTGTATTGAAGACTTATTACATTTAGGACCAAATGTTATTACATTTAGGACTTTATTACATTTAGGGCAATTATTACATTTTGGCCTTTAACGTGCGTCACCATGATGTAAATCTTCTAAATTATTGATCTTCTTCGTCACTATTCTTAAAGTGTCTCATACTTATTTTGCTTAATTACCACTGTATGGCAAACTAGAATTTCGAACTTAATAGTCGTCTTTAAGATAGATTCGCAACCTCGCAAACAACGTCTCAAAATGTTTTGCTATAGATCTAGAGGGGAATCATTCCCAGTTGCAATTCCCCTCTCATGAATTTTAGAAAGCCTTCGAAATAATACGAATACTTGTTGATTCTGTGCAGGATTATTCTAGAATTGGCACGCACAATTTACAACAAGTGACAGCTGGCTAAAGAATAAAAGGCATTCATCAGTTTATTAAACCAACGAAAATAGAAAGCACCCCGCTATCAAAGCAATTAGACACCAACTTTTAAAAAACGAAATTTATTAAACGATTCGCGCTTATTACTATATTCAAATCAAGTTTAGGATTTTTGCGTAATTTATTGTTTTTCTTAACTTTCTTTTCTTTGGTTTTGTAAACGCATGACTTGTCTTTTGAAATTACAACGAACGCGATCTGCCAAAAAGACTGATTACAAATTGCTACATTTATTTGCTTTACACGTATTGACTATTACCTTTACATAAACACTTTTCCTGGGTCTTCAACTGTCATACCCTGTAAAGAGAAATTATCTTTAAGAGATCCTGGAGGTCAGCCTCAATGTAAATTTTGCGTTCGATAAAGAAAACAATGGGGGGAAACAATTGTCATGATTGCCTTTTGGACTAGAGCTATGTTTCAGAATTGTACCAAAAGGTTTCTACAAATTTTTTTTTGTTCTTTATTAATTTTCATTTGTTTTATTTTGCCTATTGTTTTATTCTAAAAAGCATTTGCAGAGGATGACTCCTTTGAGATAGGTCTATTTTTAATGAAAGAATGCATAAATAAATAATTAGTTCGAACGTTGTTCATGAAATCACGATTAATGTCTCGTTTTTCAAGATTAATTTTTACCTTGTACCACAAACAGCGAAGATAACTCATCCTATGCTATGGCACTCCTAGCTGATCTCATTTTCATCATTCAACTACTTGTCGCTGTTTCCCCGTCCAGCATGGCTCTAAAGCAATGTAAAGTCAAGACTATGTTGTACTTAAGTCATTCACAGCTGAAAGACTGGCATTTTGCTACAGTACTTGTAACACGGATCCGTCTTGTCAAAGTTTAAATTATAACCTCGCTTCAAAAACCTGCCAATTGAATTCAGAATCAAGGAAAAGTAAACCTGACAGTTTTCACGCGAGCGATGGTTACATTTACTCTGATAATCCTGATCGAGGTAAGAGTTTTAAAGCAATAATCTGATAATTTATGAAAAAGATGTCGCCACCAATTCGCTTTCACGATTGCTTAAGTAATTCAGCTGGTTTCCTGCAGGTGAGAACAGTTTTCCTTTTTTCTCTCGGGGTCGGGGGAGTATTGCTTATCTTTGATAGTTTTGGAAGCAGTGTTGTTCAACCTTTGATTTACACATGTCGTATGTATGTTGCCTGGAGCGAGGAGAGTTCGATCAATATTACTGTCAAGGAAAAGCAACGTCAAATACACTTATAGCTAAACTTATAAACGAAAGCATATTTCCCGAGACGCCCGCCTAACAGTCATCGTTGATGTAATGTCCCAAACAAACGATAATTATGAGCTTTGTACGCACGACTTTAAGTTCTCGGTTAAAACGAGCCGCTTAGACATTTAGGAGAGTTTTGTTCCGACGCAAAAAGAGGCAGAAACCATAATCGAATGGTAACGTGTAGCCATGGTTTTAGCTTTGCAGGACCACCCCACGAGTGTGTTAACATCTAAGAAAAACTATTGAAAAATTAATGGTTGAATTAATGCCAATTATATAAATAAAGAGTTGAATGGTAGAAATTGCGAATCTAGATTTCCTCTTATAAACCTTCACGGGGAATAACCGCTATAATACAAAACTTATATTCGCTGGAAAGGGAGAGTCACGTTTCAATGTCCATTATATTAAGCATATTGTTTTCGCAAAAAAAAAAAAAAAAAAGGAAACCCTCCTTCCCCCCTATAGTGAGTTAGTCATCCATTTATTTGCTTATTTGTCCATCTTTTCATCAAAAATCTTGTTACCCGACACATTTGAAATTTCCTCTTATAAACCTTCACGGAATACAACCGTTGTAACACAAAACTAACGTTTGCTGGGAGGCGAGAATTACGTTTCACTTTCCATTATATTAAACATATTTTTTCCGAATCAAAAGTCTTATGTTACCAGAAACATTTGAAATATAAGCCAGAAGAAAAGAAGCAATCACGTGACGCAATATATATATAAATGTATTCATCCCCCAGCTTTACGCAAAGAAATTTTGTATCAAGGACCGTCATCAATTTAGATCAAGTGTCATACTATTGACAGAATTTTCTTGGTGTTTTGTTCTAAAGGAAAGACTGGGTCCTTGACTACGGACCAGATACAAAATGTAGAAATATTGACGAAAATGGAGATCTGGACTCAAGCGGAATACAAAATGCAGACTGAGAACCTAAAGGGGTTTTTTTTCTGTTTCAAGGATACTGTGACAAGTCAGCTGTTGGAAGTAAGTTTACTGATCGCAATCACTTTTCCGCGATCAGCTTTCACGATTATTTACACTATTGTTGAATATTCCTGGCCCATTTCTTGATCAAAATCGATCTTAATATAATTTCAAGCCTTCAGATAGTCTTCTCACTTTGCACGCGAGTTGGTTGGTGTAATGTCCGTACAGATTTTATGAACAAAGTAAAAGTAGATGTAGATGTAATTGAGAAGTCACTATTAAATATTTAACACGCGCAACATTCGAGAAACAATTGACAGCTTTGCACGTGGTCCGTATTATCATCTTTTTGAGCAGTATGTGTTTATTTTTTTGACAAAGATGCGGACCGAGACCAAAACTCTTCCTTCGACTTGATATATTTTCGACTTTAGTAGATCACATCATATTGATTTACCTTCGTAAATCATTCATTCCAGATAACAAAATCAAATAAACGTGGCAACGATGGTATTTGAATTCGTCCTTGGCCAAACACAAACGACTCCACAAGATCACTTTCTCCAGGCATCGAAAACATACACAAACTCGTCCATAGTTAATTTTAATCAGACATTCATCTAGAGATAGCACCGAGCAAACCAATCCAGAAAAATATAATCAGTACACTTAACAAATCATGAATCTTGCAACACAGCTTGCCGTTAAAGACCTGCTCAAATCAAAATGTTTGGTGCAATTCATCAACACCTCAAGCAATATTTGATTCAAAATTTTTCCACCCACTTTCCTCGTGAAGGAGCAATAACCGTGATCGTGCAACAGTGCACAGGACTCCATTTTCTCTCGAACAACTACCCACCACTTTCACAGCATGAGCAACACGTTTACTATAGGTAATCTGATATCTTTCATCTGTCCAGTTGTATCGCATTTCTCTTAAAGCGCGGTAAAATACACCTTAAAAAAGCCAACATTTCTCATTCTAAAAGATGGTTCGATTTTACGAACCGCTCTCTCCGAATCCCCCTTTACTTCGTTGAAATTTGAACACTCTCAAACCAAAGAACAAAAACGACGCTCTGATTGGTGCGAGATACATACCCTAAACGATCTGATTGGTGCAAGCAACAAACCACTCTCTAAATGCTAACAAAGATGTTATTTAAAAAACAAACAAATAAAATAAAATAAACTAACTCAAAAATGTTGTGGGCTTTATTAAGACTGGATTCAAGGGATTGTCATTGAGCCTTAAAAATAATTTCTTGCAACGCAAATCATTAAAACAAACAAACAAACAGATAGAAAAAACAAAAAAGGCAAAACACAACAAAGGAAAATAAAAGAAGAAAAAAAAAAAACAAAACATACTCTGCAAAAACATTTACCACAACGGTCCCATGGAATTTCAATCTTATCTGTATCATTTTATTTTGTGGAGATTGTGAGTAAAAGTGTTTCTCTGTTTTCTTTTGAGATACAGTGCTATTTCATTGCCATTTCTTTAGGTTTTCATTTTGTATTTCCTTTGATTCCTACCAAGTTTGCAGTATGTCTCCAAGATAACCAGAAAGCTATTGAGATGGACAGTTCCTCAGATAAAATCCTCTTTATGAAATTAAAGAAAAAAAACGAGATGTGGCGGGAGTGGCATCCAGTAGCCCCCACTTCCCTCCCCTTGTACTTCCAAAGGTTAAAGTTACTATCACGGCAGTTAATGATACACACATTTGTTCAACGAAGAGAAAATTAAAACAAAACAAAAACAAGTTAACGAAACCTAAAATACCCTGAATTTTCGGGATCAAAATTCTCGTCAACTTAGATAATTAAAAGATAATTTCTAGCCTGAGTTTTTGAACTTTTGTTTTATTTAATCTTTTAGCCCACATCTTTGATGGTAAAACAACAAAGTGCAACAATGTAAACACAAACTTTTGGCAAAACAATAACCCCAGTGTACGCTATGCAACGGTGATTCTCAGGAGAGAACTGAGTGCAGAAAATGCCGGTATTTTTACTGGCACATCGTGTGGCACACCAACCTACAAGATCAAGGATATTTACGTATACTTTTAAAAGTATTTTGACTTTCGCAGAGAAGGGCTGATTTGACGCTGTAATATATTTCATTTCATTGTGACACTTTTTCAGTCGTTTTACGAAACGAGTTATTCCGGCTAAGATTTGATCGTCTAATCATGTCACACCAGACCGTAAGCTTCATATCACTTCTGCACGTATGGGAGATATTACTATTCGTAAAAAACAGAATTGGTAGCATGTTTTATTATATCTAATATATTACAATGAAGCAAATTTTTTCTGCTTTGTTGGGTGTTCTTTCTCTTCGTGCAAACTCAATTCTAAGTCGGAAGCTCTTAGGTGATGGACAAGTTATTGTCTTTGTGCCATATAGTGGTTCACTCGTTCAGAAAGAAAAAATTTTTTGAATGCTATTACACGATTTAAAAGAACCTAATAACAATCTATAACGAGGAACTACGTCGATTTTCATGACTAATATTTGCATCTACTCTCATAGTAATGAACTGAATTCAGATGAACACTACCACATTTGGGACCCTTAATAAACAAATCAGTGAAAGGCTGTTATTTTGAAATATTTCAAATTAATGTCAAACAACAGTCCACCCTCGGGCGGGAGTAGAAATAGAGGGTGGAAGCGGATTTGTACCTTTGAGACCGAGAGCTTCTGATCCTATCAAAGACATATCCACTGTCACCCTTATAACATAAAAAATAAGTTTCTATAGACTGCGACATCACCTCCGCCATCAACGCTCAGCATTTCAGACAGATTACACAAAATTTGATGTGAAAACTGTTTGTCCCAGTCAGTGTAGACATAATGTCACTACGGTTCATACGCTATCTAAGGCTTCGAAATAAAAAGTAGCCTTGTTGAATAAGACTAGATTATGAAATTATATATCCTGGTGCCCTATACAACAGTACCTCGCAATCCAAGGCAAATAAAGGAGCCCCCCCCCCCCCCCCCTCCGGGACACAACATAGCAAATTAGGAGTCCATTAAGTAATGGGCTCCTGGCAAAAAGACACACCTTGGCCTTGATGTTTAAATCTTGGCTTACCTCAATCGCAGTTCTTTCACCAGGGTTTAAATACCATAGTTGGACTTTTCAGTTTTAAAATCCCCAAGACTTATTATAGAGGGAGTTGAACGCAAATATCAAGTTAAAGCATTGAGGTAAGTTTTAGTTCTTAACTTTTTTTCCAATAGACATGAAACGCAAGCACACATGGATAAAAACAAACTCAGCGACTCACATGTTGCAAAACGTTTTTGCAAGCTCTGAACACCAATTTGCCAACTCAGACTCATTACGCTATTGCTATTATTATCACTTTAAAGGGCAATGAAATAATAAATACTGACAAATCACGGAAGCGTCTACAAGTAATATGGCTTTTATTTTCCTTCAACGAAAATGCACCATCGAGGGAAGATGGCGAGAAATTAGAAAATATTGGTGATCACTTGGGGAAAAAAAGGTATTTTAAGGCTTTGGTACAACTTGGACACCTAAGAGTAAAAGACGTTTTCGTCGGTAATATTTCGAAGAATTGTACAAAAATTGGGTACATCAATCAGCATCATGATATTTTGTTTTCTTTGTTCGTTTTTTACTTTTTTGTGGTCTTTCGTTATCTTTTGGTTTTAGTACTTGCTGCTTGAGGAACTTCAAGGTAAAACAATTTTCATCGAGTGAAGCTGTTATTTTCTATAACATTTTCCTTGTTTTTCGGTTTGATTGATAATTCAGAAACTCGTTACCCATTGGATATCAAACAGGCCCATTTGAACCGGTTGTCCTCATATGCATTTAAATGTCCTACTATTAACAATATTGGAGGACAAGCGAGGTGCTTTTAATGATCAATACGCCGTGGCCATATAGTGAGTATAAACCTTCTACAACCTTAGAGTGCCACCAACTCGAAGATGTGTTTTACCGAAAAAAATTTCCTTGTCTTACTGGTAACAAAGTCGAAAAAATTAACGTCGCATCTATGTTACAAATCTTTTCTTAGGTATTTTCAATCCCAAAATTGGCCTCCTTATTGTTCGCGACCAATAAATAAATAGGTGAATGGGGCAGGTTGGCTAATGACATCATCCCAGGAACCGATTCGACATTATTCATATCATTAGTGACAATAGAATTATGCCTGAAGGTGTTTTATTGTATTGTTTTGGTTTGTTTGTTTGTTTATTTTGTTTTTTTTGTTATTTGTTTGTTTTTATATATGAATTAATTTTTATCATACAGCTCGTGACACGCTTTTGGACTTGTTTATTCATTCATTCTTTCGTTTAATCATTCATCCATTCATCAACAGTCATATCTCACCCGATTCATTTGAAATACATGTTGGAAACTGAAATGAAAGCAACAATGTCACGCAATGTAACGCCAAGCTTTATTAAAGATAATCTGCAACCAACAACGTCATTAATCGAAATCAAAGATCACACTATTAACTGAAAATTTAACTTATTTCTGTTGTTGTGTTTTGAAGGAAAGAAAGTGTCTCAGCCTACAGTACCATGCCTCTCAGGTAGAAATATCCATGCTAATGGAGATCTGGACGCAAGCGGCGTTTACTGGATTCGGTCTGCAGGCTCTCTCGCTAGTCCTCAAGGATACTGTGACCAATCAGCCGTTGGACGTAAGTTTATTGATCAATCAAACAAAGTCATTATGAATGCCAAATGCTTGGTAATATGAAAAATCGTTTTGTTGTTATTTACTGTAGATTCTGCGGATGGTCCATGAGCCACTAAATTAAGTTCTGAAGGAACAGCACTGATAAGAGTTGGTAAATATACGTGAGTGTTGATATTTTGCGTATGATGTCCTATTACTTTGTGAGATTTGCCCATGGGGTTCTTCCTAGTAATTATCCAATGGCCATGGGGATGTGCCAATAGATGGAGTCACATTTTGACAAGTGGGTTGACAATAAGTTAGGAAATTATAAACAGTTTATATTCTATTGTTTATGATTGGGTTACCTTTTCAATAGAGTTGGTAGAATGGGGTTGCACACTTTCGGAATTTAAAAATTGCCTACTTTAAAAACGCTTTACAAGGCAGATGAATAAACACAAAGTAGCTACCATGAAAACTACATGAATATGAAAGGGATCGTAGCAGTAATGAACACTACTAGAGCAGTAGTGAAAATAGGCCCTGAAAAAGTTTCAGGCCTGTAGGAGATTTTAACTCATGATTTCTGCGATACCGGTGCAGTGCTCTACTATTGTCATCTTCACGTCTTCATCCGTAGTTCACATGTATGTATTATATCCCCTCTTGCTGGGAGAAAAAATTGCTCGAACGGCTCCCGCGGACTAGTAAGGAAGGAAAAGGATTACTTTCTTCCTTGGGTTGTGTGGGGATAGTGTCGTTGGCTCAGTAATTTTCTTTCAGAATAGAGAGTTTACTTATTAGATATTCCTGATGCCCTTAGCCGCCTCAGCCGCCGTTTCCGTTTCCGCCGTTTTCTCCCAGAAAGCTAGGAGAATAATTGCTACTTCAAAAGATTCTTAATTTCCTACCACCAAGCCCGATGTCTGAATCACAGTCGTGTTTCTGCTGATTTAATGAAATATATTTAGATAATTCTGAAGACTTAAGCTGCAGGCCTTTTCCATCAATAAGCCCAAGACGGGCTTCACAATTCACATCTCTAAATTTCGTGGAGGAGAATGGAGGATAACAGATGTTTACAGTAAGAACCTATTTACGTTAAGCTATAGAAAGTTTTGGAATCTGGGTTAGAGTGTTGATTACAATTGTTAGACTAAATTAACAATCAAGCAAAAGTTCTCAAGACCACTTGGAACTATTTCACGTAATCGAAATATTAAGTTAAAATGAAAAGTCACCCAAAAGTGAGCTTCAAAGAAAAAAAAAAGTAAAGAGGTCATATTTGAAAAAAAGTATGGTGTACTTCCAACGTGAACAAAACGTATTTCTGAGCATGCATATACTAGAATATTTAAACTTGATGCATCAAATACATTTTCCTGTACTGTCATAAACTATTGTCAAAGTACTCTACTGTTGAAATTTATCGTGCGCCTGCATGATTTTCAGATTTTTCAATTCTTGGGGAGGCATTACGTGGTTTTCAGGGAACGGGAACGGAGGGAGATCAGTCTTCGCCAACATAGTTTAAAGGGAGAATATAGAAAATTGACTGCCACGTAATTTTAAATAGAGACAAACCCGTTCCTCTCACCCCCCCCCTCACCCCGGCAAGAGATAAATAATAACCAGTCCCTTCGTATCAATCTAATAAAAGTAGAAAAGTCCGTTTATTGTTAACATAGATTATAAAAAAAGACAAAAATTAAGAAGGCAGGTAGATATCATTTTGAACTTACCTTCGCGAGAAGTTTAAGAAGTGTCTGTTCAAAATGGTTTTTAGTTTGGTTTTACTACACCCGAATCATTGTGGAGTTACTCTTGTCCATTCCTTGGCAAAAAAGGAAAAAAGGAAAACTTTTCCCGACGGCCTGACTGTTTTAAATTATAATACATGTGACTACTCAAATTAAGAACTGTTATAAAATGGGTCCATGCTTAGTGTATGTATATCGACTTATGGATGCACGCGGGAAGTTTGGAGAGCACGAGAAAAGTGTAAGAGTTGCGAATGATTTAAAAGCATAACCAACGAGGAAAAATCTTAGCTTTGAAGCATTATCGGCTTTACATTGCTATAGGGAAATGTTGGACGCGGTAAGAGCGACAAGTAGCTGAAGGATGAAAATAATATTAATTAGGAATACCATAGCTGAGGGATAAGGTATGTTTGCTGTTTTTTTATCCAAGAACTCTGTGCATAATGAAGGGGCTGTGCAAAATTCTTGCCGAAGAAGGTGACCAATAAGGATTCGAATATACTACCTCGAAAATCGATTCATGAGTTTTCAAAGATAATCTCTCTTTTCAGGCACCATTGTATCATTAATTTGGCGAGGTTGTGACAGGTGATGTCCAAGAAAAAAAATATTGATATAACAATAAAAGACAGTGTCCTATAAACTTAAAGGCAGCAATGAATCATCAATCTGTAGGCAGATAGCATTCATTTTATGTTGTAAACTGAAAAGCCGCGCATTAACAAAAGCTAAACGAAGAAAAATAGTAGAAAAATTTATTGTAAAAAGATTATTAACTTTAGTCGAATGTGTATCGTAATGAGCGCGTATCGTGAAATAAACTTCCTAATTGTTTTGACAGCGTGCTCTCTATTTCCGTTCGTTTGATTAACTAATGAATGCATTTTATGAAAAGTGTCTTGATCAGCCTTCTACCCAGCTTTGATTAACTGAACATCAATTCTAAGAAAAATAATGCAATTAGTATACAGGTTAACTCGTTGACTTCCAGGGGAAGTTATGCGTTCAAATAATATTGCGACAAGATGGAGATATGATATATTTCTATTTTAGTGAAGCATTCTTTTGCCACGTCACGAGCGAACCTAGTGGCTCAACATGATGCACTCTAAGATTTCCTGTAACTTACTGATAGAGCATCGCAGCGCGCGTAGAATCTGAATGTCTGAGGTGCAAATCGTGATGAAAACTCAAGATTTTTATTTGTCCTAAGCTAAAGATGGGGCGAGAAAAAGTCCTCTGTTTTCAAAATACATCATGTTTCTTATTTCATCTATTTTTCTTTCTCATTGGTGAACATGTGTTTCTTATCAACTCAGCAATGTCAGATTGACCTCGATATCCTTATTTTTCTTGTGAAAACTGAATTTACATACCCATGAGACTCGATGAAAGGGAATTTAAAATCTTGTCAACACAGATGCAAACCTCACTAAAGTGACTGACTCAAAAGACAAGAATAAACATCACTCTAAATAACTTTGATCCACACTTAATTTATTGCTCACTGTTTCTAAAAGTATACGTAAATATCCTTGATTTTGTATGTTGGTGTGCCATTAAAAACCCCGGCACTTTCAGCACTCAATTCCCTTCTGAGAACCACTGTCGCATAGTGTACATTTCGGTCTGTGTTACTCTTGAAGTTTGCCGCTGAATCGTTGCACCTTGTTGTTTTACCATTGAAGATATGGGCTAAAAGATAAAATTGAATTAAAAATTCAGGAATTTAAGCCTGACTAAGCTCAAGCTTGACCTCAGTACAGCGGTTTTTAATTAACTGTCGTAAAACCTGAACCAAATTAACTACGACAGCGACTCAGATCAAAGGTTTGCGTCATTATTAGCCAATGAGGACTCAAAGTGAAAACAGGCAAACTGCCAAAAGTACGAGGTACGTGTGTGCCCAAGTGACGATTGGTTTCCTTTGGCGATAGCGTTTAATAGTTTCAGAGCTGAGCATGAGATTTCAGGACCAATCAGACTGAATTAAAGGAAAACCAAAGTAATCCCGAGCTACTTTCAACATTCAATTGAAAATTACCTCATGAAAATGAAATATACCAAAAACATTCACGTGCGGTAATTCACGGAGATTAAGGTTCAAAAATTTTAAAAATCACTTAGAATACAGATTTGTTCGATGACTTTGAGGGGGCAGTTAAGCGTTCTCGGGCAAAAATATTTACACAATTCATGAAAGTAAAATTTCACGTTGACATCATTCCCTTTTGGATCCACATTAAAACATTTTGAGGTATTGATTGCGATGTTGAGAAATAAAAAAAACTAAACTTTTTAATAATTCTTGTTTCTCGTGTATGCACAGTGGTAGACACACCTTTTTGCATTGGAATACTCAATGATCAATGACTTGGAAGGAAAAGGATGCAAGAGATTTACCAGGAGTTTCAAATGATGTTTTCAAAACTGTTAAGTTACTTTTTGGTGCGATCGTGTGAGTTGCTATTAAATGGGAATCTTTCGTGCATGATTTTGTCTGGATTACCATAAAACTAGTTAAGAACGGAAAGGCTTAATAATTGAGCAAATCGCTTTTGTCTTTCACCCATTAAAGCGGTCACTCTACCTCAAAGGGCAGATTTGAATTTGACTGTTTTACCAATTGAATAAACCGTTGCAGTGATGTATGACTCGATTTCGTTCAGTAATTGAACTTTTTTACGAGCGACCACGTTATGTGACACGAAACTCCTATAGAAAATTCTTTGAAATACTGCGCGTGCAATTAACCAACTTCCCACGTGATCATTATTATGACGTAAACGGACTTAAAACAATCAGAAACAAAAGGAGAAGTTTTCTGGTTTCCATGAGATTTTATAGAAGATGCCTTGTCAAATTTCTTCGGCCAAGAACCGCCCTTTCCCTGTTAAGATTGTTCTTACGTCCATTGAAGAAATCGTGATAAGAGATGTCGTCACATCAATGACTGTGCTGGCCTTAAAAGACAAAATTGAGTTGCAATGTGGGATTCCACGGTAAGATTGAGTGATTCCTTTTGAAAAATTCCAATTCCAGCGATCAGGAAGTTATGCTTTAAATCATAATTGCTGATCAGGTACGGTTACATCGCTCCATTTGTAGAGGAAATCGTTTCAACGTCAATGTACTATTTATGCACTGGGCATTGTTTGTAAGTTTTCAAAATTGAACGAGCCGCAAGCTCAAGTCTGACTCTCAGCTTGAAATCCTGCTTATTTTCAGTTAGATGCCACTTTCAAATGTATTAAGAATTCTGGCAAAAAAACTCTGATAGACATTAGACTTTTGAAACTCTCTGCGTAACAAAGCGTTAATGTAAAACAGATAAAAAGTCTTTTGATAAAGGATCCCTTCCGCCTAAAAAAATTGGGAGCCATTTGACCTTCAAAGTGAAAAGCGTATCCTTTCGTCCCTTGTTTGAGCCTGGTACTGAACATTTAATTTTCGCGAGACAAGATGCTGAATGTAAGCGGAAGAGTACAATCGTCTCGTGTCACTGTTTAATTGCTCTTTTCTTCGGCGTATTTTTGTTTCTATGTTTGTAATTTTGTTTTTTTGTTTTAATTATTTTCAAAGGCAATTGCAACGCTTAACATATCTTGATGAACTAGACATAGATGACAGAAAAAAACTGTCCTTCTTCCATGTAGTACCAAACTCCATACTTACAGTGAAATGGTGGCCTGAGTGGGCTTCTCTGATTCAAGCCGCTTATCGTGGTGACTTAAAAAGTAAGTCATTTTATCTGACTACGTGGTCATTTATGTGTTAATTGTGGACAATTTCTAGTTTAAATCAAAACCTTCATCGAAAATTTGCTGAATAAAGAAATAAAGGCAACATTTATATGCTTACTGGCTCATGGTTTATTTGAGCCATGTGGTTTTTCAGCTAATATGCAGACACATAACACGGTTTATATTTTGACCCAAAGCTATAACGAATTCTGTCAGAATTAACAATTTCAGACTGAAACTTCTACAATTCTATGATTTGTGTGGGAGAGAGATCTCAGTTTGGATGGCTGCAATCTCTCGATCTCCTGCTCGTCCTGATTCACATCAAGTTCTTTGCAACATCTACGTTCACTTGAAATGAAAAGAAAAAGTTTACGAGATTTATTCGAGGGCTACTATATTGCTTTAGTCTACAACCCTCATTGTGGTGGTAGATGTATGCAGAGCTAAGCGATCGTGACTTTTTCGTGCACTCGCAAAATAACGGCTCGCAAGTAAATATGAATGTTTATTAACTGTTTTGTTCTTAAAATGAAATCAGACGTGATGGCGTCGCGAATAAGAGTGATGGAGCATAAAGTTGGTTGGTTTAGAGGGGCGCACTTTAATGAACGTGGCTATATAGCTCTGTACATTGCCTCCCATCGCGGTCATGAGCGAGTGGTTTCCAGACTAATGAGCTTAGGTATTGATCCATGTCGGAAGATGCCATCTGGGAGATCGTCTATTCACGTTGCCGTCCTCAATAGAAGAATAACATGTGTGAACCTTTTAGTTGGTAAGATAAGCTAACACACTTAGACTAGACGACTGACTGAATTGTCTCAACTAAGGATTTCGACTTTCGGAACCTTAAATTGGGAGAGCTTGGAAGTATCAGTTTGGTCTCAAAGAGCTTCGAACCTCTTATCATTATGATGGACGAAATTCTTAATTTTCGTCGATTTTCCTTTGTTAAAGTTTCTCTTTCATGGTGTTTCTAAGATAACTACGTGGCTTATCCCCTAAGATTCTTAAATTAAGGACACCCGGTCGAAATAGGGGCGTTTGATTGGTTTGGCATAATTAACAACATCACTTCTTTCATCTCTCCAGTTCACAGTAAATTGCAATCAATTTATTGTTTAGTGTGTGCCTGTGTATTTCTAATGAGAGTGAAAGCATTAGGTTAACATTTGCTTTAGCTTTCAAGGTATTTTAGCATGCTTTCTTGCTCACTTTTCTTCATTCATTTAGGAAAGGCGAGAGGTAAGGGAGGTGAGGCAGGCTTACGTGAGAACTGTGCAAGGAGGAACACGTTTCTGAACATCGCCGGTCAACTTCAGCGGAGAGATGGCTGGAAATTACTGGTAATACAGCTCAGGGAGCGCATGGGACGCCGGGAAAAAGATACTTTGAGTAAACGAGATATTCCCCTGCGAGAATTTCAGAAATATGACTCTACATTTTCGACATATTTAACAGGTAAACAAAAGCACGATTAGGTTATTCGTGTTACTTCGACTGTTTATTAAAATCATTTTGTGATAATTATCGATGACATACCACTTTAAGTGTCTAAGCTTGTCTTCTCTAGATATTTTAATGAGGGTTAAGTGACCGAAGCTCATTTTTTCTTTCCTTTCTTCGTTTTGTTTTGGTGCTTTCTTTTGTTGTCACCGTCACATGAGACATGGATGTCTAGAACAGCAGTTGCACAAGCTGTTTCCTTGAATCTTTTTCCTCCTTTGCTGAAGAAGGGGCTAATTATGTTTTTCACTGACAAAGTCTTTGTATTCTTGCTTATCGACCAATTTAATAAATGAGTTTAGATGGTACTTATTAGCTTCCTCCTACCTCGCCTTCAGTTTCTTTTCATCCACTGATTGGCTGAGCACGTCATTTAGATTGTAGCATATTTAGCACCTGCAGTTTGTTTTTTTCGCATTAGCGTTCCTGGCGAAAGTGAGCTTTTCCATCGCAGATTGGTGCCACGAACTTTTTCTTTGTCCTCCATATAAGCCCTCTGCTACACTCGTATTTCCAGGAATCACTTTTTGTATGTCGCATCCACAAAATGTCGCATAAATGGGTGGTAATACCAATTTAAGCGTACCTTATCTTAATCGATATTTATTTATACTTTTATTTATCAATGTCCTAATTTATTTATTTATCTTCCTATCTGTTGCTTACATGTATTTATTAATTTTTCAATAGGGCCTCTTGGCAGGATTTACCTTTGCACAGTTCTCCAGAAGAACCCCCTTCGATGTCGAACTTTCATAAAACCTTGGAAATTTTGAACACATTTAGAGTTAAAGATTTTGAATTCTTGCTTTTATTAACCACCCTATAAATTACGTAAAGTAAACAAATGTACCTACGAGGAACTAACAAGATGAGCATACCCAACTTTTAATTGAAATTAAAACTTTCAAATTGAAAGCGGATTGCAAGTTATATTTCTATAATAAATAGTTATTTTTCACCCAAATTATCTGTCGATCTAATTTCTTGAGTATTTGACTGACCACTTCATCTGAAAAACTGACAAACAGATAAAATGATGAATAGACGAACAGATTGCATAACGAGACAGAGAAAGACAATCTCCTATGCACATGTCCCAACAGATGTGTCTAATAGTGTATTTATTTTCTATGTGAAGTGTTTATTATACCTTTTCCTATTCTCGCTTAGTTAAACCTGGCTTCGGGTCGTCCTTTTTTTTTTTTTTTTTTTTTTAACGGTACAGGTGTTGAATTTTGTTTTCGGGCTTGCTTGTTTTTATTTCTGGCCAGGTTAAATTTAATCACGCGTGCTTACAATAACAGCAAGTTAACTAAGAATAGACGATTCGATATTTATCGATCACTGCTGGGCAAAAATTTTCCAGTGAATCAGCTACTCTATCTCTGATGAGAATAGTCTTGTTTCTAGCAGCTCAGCCCAAAACTTCAAAAAAGTAACACAAATGAGTTGTAAAAAATTCATTTAACGCATCCACAAATTCAACGAATAAGATTCAGTAACAGTTTCATCTTGACCGAAGTCATGTTCACGGGATCCGTACTCAATGGATGCTTCGTTATCTTCTGTGATCCCAATTCCGTGATCAGCACGTAAACAGTTACTTCCTCCCCCACCAATCATCATCACGGATCCATCACCACTATCCCAATCACACCAAAAACCGATCTTCAAGGCACTTTGGATGTTTCCATTGCAGCTTGCCTGTTGGAATCCTTCAGTTGACTTATACTGTCCACCATACTGAACATTACAACTCCCCAAACACCTGTCACTGAATCCAAACTTTGCCATTTCTAAAGTCTCCGTAACTAGTAATTTTCGATCGAAATGTTTGTCCCGCCAAACGATCACCGTTGGTTTGTAACAAATGGGTGTGACTGCGGTCATCGCTACGAGTGGTCTTAAATTCTTTACCACCCACCAGCCAAAAGGCTGATGAGATCATGTCAGTATTAGAAGATGGATCTAATATTCGCTCAACAGCACCACGAATATCATACCACCAATTTCCTTGATCATCCATCCAGTTCTTGTGATCAGCATTTGAAACTCGAGCGATCAGTGTCCAACCTTTATCGTTATATGAAAAGGAGGAGTAAACGTTTAAAGACCAGGATCATAAAATTTGTGACTGTCGACAATCAGTTAACATATATTGCAAAGGTTAGTATTCCGACTTGTTTTGTCTTAAACGTCTTTATTATAGCTTGACAAACAACGATGTTAAGTTAGGACAAATTACATTTTCGAATTCTTAAGATCGTAGTGCACCTCATCCCAAATTAGGTTTTGATACAGATTTTATACATATATATATTTTATATTTTTATTTTCATACAGATTTTTGCAACTTAGGCCAACAAGATCCAAGTTAGGTTTGTTCGCTTCTTAAAATGGAGGGAGGTAAATCTTATTGGTTCTCCTTCCCTGTAAAGAAATCTAATCTGACTAATTCGTCGGAACTCATGATTCACGATTCATGATTCATGATTTATGTCTCCGTCTAAAAACAAACTCTGTAATCACATCAACTTTTCTGATCTGAAGCACTGGAAAAATGTTTAGCCATTTATTGGCGTTGCTTATAAATTGATATACAATATATTTTGCAATAGTCACAGAACCAATGGCGACTCAAGTTCTGTAACGTCATTAACTTGCAGGCGTGGCTCATCAGTACGTTCTTCAGCTTCACTGGTACATTTTTAAACGTAGAAACATGAAAGATGAAATTTAAATGAGAGATGTTCGATGAATTAGTAAGTGCAAAAAATTAATAATCGCAAAGACGCACTCTTGCCCAGCAATCGATAATATATTTTCCAAAACTAGACATGAAGTAAGCGAAATTTAGCAAAGGATATATGAAAACCAAGGAGAAAGGACGTGAATACTTTGGGTGATTCTTCAGAAAAAAAAAAGTTTTTTTCTTTACCAATGTCCGTTTCAAAAAATGCAATATAAAAGATATGTCACCTTGCTTATTTGTGAGGTATGATGGGCTAAACTTACCCCATTAATGCCTGTACTGGCACTAATCAGGCGCGTCATTTCATGGGTTCACGGTACATTTTGCAGCTGCTGGAAGCAATCGTTTTTAAGGGAACACTTTAAAAATACTTGATAGGTAGAAAGTCTTCTGCGAATGGAACAATTCGATATATAATACGTGGGAAAATCACGAAAATTTAAACGACATCGACTTTAAACGTTCCTCGAGTTGTTCCTTTTAAGGTCATAATTTGCCTCCTCAAATAACGGGTTTGTGCACGCTTCTAGCTTTATCTTTATTTCCCTTCGAAGAATTATTTTGAATATCCCCAATTTAAAAGGGATAAATTGTACATCAAAATTATGCAACAAAGAATATAGGTCACAAAAAAAGCTTAAGACAATCGTTCCTCTTCACCAGGTCCATTAATTAGAAAAAAATACTGTGTTCTCGTAGTGCGCGCGCTTATTCGCCTGATAACGTGATATTTATGCACAGTAGAGGATGCGCCGTGCAATACTGAGGAATCACCCTAAAATGGAAAACTGGACCTGACAAAACAGACGGAATAATTTACTACATCATAACAAAATTACTGACGCTTATTAGCACAGACTACGTACACCTATTTTATAGTGAGAGAAAAAAAGCTACCTTAAAGAATTGATTTTCAAGTGACAGCAGGTAAACTCCGTTCATTATCCCACCGTACTTACAACTCCAGTCGTTACACGAGTTTGCAGCTGAAATACAAGACAACGCAAAAAAAAAACAAGCAAAATTAGTGTCAAAGGTTGAGATAAGACAACTTATAAGGAAAATGAAATGAAAAAATTAAATAATTCTACTCGCGCTCGTTGGATATGAGATGACGGGCGTCGTTGGCTATATATCATCTCATATCCAACGAGTGCGAGAGGAATGATTGTTTATTCGGTGTTAAGCACTTCATTGGCTATTTAGTATCTCCTATTAAATCGCTCACGTTACCCGGGGTAATATGGAGCAAATTATATGTTCTGATTGGCTACCCGAGCGGTCAGAAGGAGCCCATGTTTCCCACTCGGAATTCCCTGCCTTGATCCCGCTGGCAAACTGGCAAAGATCGTAATTTTTGGACATCAGCGATAGAGTCACAGAAAGCGGCAGAAGACAGTCAAAACGAAGGAAACGTAAACGACTCTCGTTGGTTTATTGTGCTATAAAAACAGCTAGCTTTCTTTCCCGTCTTTTGAAATAAACGAGTCTTGATTCTTGATAAACCGACGATCTTTCTGCTATACATGATAAGTTATTCATTGACTAAGCTTGTTTTGTCAAGACGGCCGGATTTTAGCCTTTTTTTTTTTTTTTTTTTTGCATTTTTATAGACCTTGACTTCGTCCCGGCCCATAAATTCGCAAAAAAAAAACACTTCACTGTTTTAGGATATACTTAAACAATTATTCACCCTCGGTTTCAGTGGTTTGCTATGTTTTTTCTTTGCCCCTTGGCGCGTCAATTTTACCGTCCGTAATTGGACGGCGTTTCCTTAGTTTGAATATGCTGCTTCTTTCGTTAGCAGAGCAAAACTGACAAACTTGTCACTTAACATTGAGTTTAAAAAGTGTGAATATACATATATATATATATATATTTTTTTTATTTTTTTTCACAAGTTTTTTAAAACAAACGAACAAGTACAATACACATACACGCACACTCGCAGCAGGCGATCTCTGTCGGGTGATGAGTTGTGTTATCTATAAATATCCGTTTTTTTTTCGACGGGACAGCGTGTTTAAAACCTTGCTCATAGTTCACTTCTATTGAGGCCAACCTTCAGCAGACAAATGACTTATCTCTATTTTTACTCCTTCTCAAAGCATTTTGGTTTTAGGCTTAGTTTTGAGTTCTTCTGAAGCTAAACCTTCTGTAAGGCTATGAAAGTTCTTTCAATTCAGGATTCCACATCAGAAACCGAAAGAATTCATTGAGCGAAAGCCGAATTAAATATCCTCGTTTCTTGTAAAGTTATCTCATTTAACTTCAGTTATCCATTGGAAGAGAGATAGGAGTAGCATTATCATTGAATGATCGTTAATAGAGGCGGATAATATTTTCCGATAAATTATTTGACTGGTTCAGAAATTATCGATGTAGAGCAATTTTTCGGTGTCTAAAGTAAGAGTGAAGAGTCGGAAAGCAAGCCAAGTTCGCTGTGGGTTTGCTCTACTTTGCTCTGTGATTGGTCCAGAAAACTCGCACCATCCTGTCAACCAATTATATCTAAATTAAAACGTCACGCGTTTGCCTGCGCTCCGGGTATTTTACCTAGATTGTCACCTTTCTCAAACACTAACCATTCCAACCACGAACGGCCACAATCCTATTTGCAGCTATAACTTTGGATCGAACAGCGACTTCCTCTTAATGGACATGAGCTCGGTGGTAAAAGTAAGTACAGAGTTAGCTATGTATGAATAAAGCAAAGATAAGAAAATGTTAGGATTTGCTGTTTATTTAGTAACGTAGAATGATATTAATATCACGAGTAGCAGAAAGATTTCCGTATAATCCCATACTATTATTGTCATAAAACAAATTAAATTCATAGTCCAAGAGGCAATATATTGTTTCTGCCATTGTTTTCTTTATCCATAAACTATCGGTATAATGAAGTATGGTGCTGTGCAGAAATATTGCAGTCAGGGAAAAGGAAAAGCTTCTTGACCATTGCCCTTCTATGTTACGACAAGAAATTTAAAAGAAATTTTTCCCTTTTTGGCTATTACCACA